CTCTCCACCTCAGGTCTGTATTTTAAATTTTGCTGGACCCAAAATTTGAATTGTGTGATTAAGATGACTTGCCTGATGAGTGAATACAGCTAGAGTTTCATTGCCTCTGTATTTGCAAACTGCTGGAAGTGACTTGGTTGATTTTTGGTAAGCAGTAAACTTAGTTAGAATGCTTTTAAATTTTGTTTTAGGGGGTGTATGAGAAAGAGTTCTCTTCCTGTTTCCCACAATATAGATGGATATAAAGATTAAGATAGCATTGGTCGATAGCACAGCAAGGAGGGCATTTGCCTTGTACGCGGCCGACCTGGGTTCGATCCCCAGCATTCCATATGGTCCCCTGAGCACCGCCAGGAGTAATTCCTGAGTGTAGAGCCAGGAATAATCCATGTGCATTGCCGGGTGTGACCCCCCTCCCACCCCCCCCAAAAAAAACCCACGTGCATTGGTCATTGATTCTAAAATCAAAGGTCAGAAACGACCAATAGTACAGTAGGTGTTGTGCGTCCCTTGCAAGTGGCCAACCCAGGTTTAATCCCCAGCACCCCATAAAATCCCCAGAGGACTGCTAGGAGTAATTCCTGAGTGCAGAGTCAGAAGTGAGCCCGGAGCATCACCAAATGTAGCCCCAGAACAAAATAAAACAATAAATAAAATCAATGGTCAAAACTTAAAACAGTGAATATGGGACTATTTGGGACAAAAAAAGTCCCACCCGATACCTTGTAAGATGTTAATAAGTCTTATAGTACAGTGCCCCCGAACAAACCAGCAATGCCGGAACTGCAATTAAATACAATGGCCCAATAGCTGTGAGGCCATAAAACCATAATTGTTGACAAATGTAATTCAGGAAAGAGACTACTGTCTTTGCAATAACTTAATTAGGAAATCCTCCTTTCCCCTAAAACTTCCAGATGTGATCTAGGCAAAGAGAAGCGGTCACTAAATTCACGAATGCCTGTCTCTGCTCTCACCTTCCTAGTAAAACCCAAGTCATTCTAGTAAAACCCAGTGTATTGGAGACTCTTTCGGGGTCAGGGGGAAGAAACCCGTTACTGTTACTGTTTTTGGCATATCAAATATGCCACAGGGAGCTTGCCAGGCTGATACTCTCAGTAGGTTGCCGGGCTCTTCAAGATATATATATATATATACATATATACACATATGTATATATATGTATATATATATTTCTCTCTATAATTTGTTATTTTTTTAAATAATCTTTTATAGTTTAAGGAATCATCATTCACATACAGAAGAACCAAAGAAGGTGAAAAGTTTGTAAAATTCAGACCCTAAACTTTGAGAGCTATCATCCGTGCCAGCTGTTTCAACCCCTCAGAGATCCTGGAATTCACCCACCACCGGTGTCTGTTATGGCAAGAAGCATGCCGGACTCCTGTAAAGAGACAATCAGTTCCCATAGAAGGAAAATTAAGTCTTATTGATGTAGGTCTGCAAACCATATCTGGTTTGAAACAGAGTCCTTTAAACTTTAGTTCATCTTGCACGATCTTAATTGACAGGGTGAAATGTGAATGCAGCCTGGGTCTTTGAATTGTTTGCTGCAGGGGATCCCACAGCATCCCTGGGCCCCAGGCGATGAGATAAACTCTGGGCTACTTAGCTATTTCATTGCATTCCTAGTCTCTAGACAGGTAGATATGAGAAATACTACCTCCCAACTCTTCTTCCTTCCTGGCAACCAACTTTAAGAAAAGCCAACTGCAAGTGTGGGACCAGGGGTGTAGATCTCCAAGCCTGCTCCCTGCTCAGATTGGGACTGGGGCCTCCTCCACCCAGATCCCCAGATCCCCCACTTTCCAGGCGTCACACCCACCAACGCCCCCCCGTGCTGCGTAATCCCATCAACGGCCAAGACCCAGAGGCTATAAAACCCTGTTCCCGGAACCATCTTATTTTCTAGGTCTTACTCTGGAGAACCTGGCAGGCTACCAAAAGTATCCTGCCCACACGGCAGAGTCTGGCAAACTCCCCGTGGCGTACCCAATATGCCAAAAACCAGTAACAATGATGGATCTCATTCTCCTGACCCTGAAAGAGCCTCGAATGTGGCACTTTTTAAAATCTCAGGGCTAGGACGAAGGAGATGTTACTGGTGCCTGCTCGAGGAAATCGATGACCAACAGGATGACAGTGATGCAATGATACTGCAAATAAGAGACAATAAAGCCTTTTCTTTTTTTTTTTCTCTTTTTGGGTCACACCCAATGATTCACAAGGGTTACTCCTGGCTCTGCACTCAGGACTTACTCCTGGCGGTGCTCGGGGGACCATATGGGGGATGCTGGGAATCGAACTTGGGTCGGCCGAGTGCAAGGCAAAAACCCTACCCGCTGTGCTATCGCTCCAGCCCAATAAAGCCTTTTTTTCCTGGTAATAAGCAAATGAGATCAACCAATCTGCCATTCCTAACTCATGGAATCCTGGGGCGCTGCCTTTCATATTGATAATGTAACAGGCCCACAGCCCAGGGCAGTAGGGAAGCAGGCAGGCAGGCAGCAGAGAGGACCGGGTCCCCGTCTCCTGCCCGACGCCCGCCCTCCCCCTCCCTCCCCATGGCAATGAACTCTTGGGAAGTAACACAACCAACTCCCCTGAGGGCCTTGCCACCTACCTTGCAAGTGCAGGAATTAGACCTGGTGAGACCAGCACCTGGTGCCCACCCAGACCAGAGCAGGTGGGACCCCCTCCGAGACAAGCTCCAGCAGGAACAAAGACCAGGGAAAGAATTTCCCAGAGGACTAGCAAGTCCACCCAACTCTATCTCTTGACAACCACCCTAGCAATGGACTCTTATCTAGGTAGAAGCCCCACGTGGGCAGTTTGGGAGAAACCCTCGGAGCCACCCGGATCAAGGGAGTGTGCTCGCCTGTTGTGCCCGCCCAGCTGCCGGCTGCGACCTGTCCACTGCGACTGCCCTCGCGAGAGCTGAACTTAGACTCCGTAGACAATGATGGGATGGTCCTGCAGCTCCCGCTCACTCTGGGCAAGCCCACATGCTCGCTGTCTCTCGCTCTCTCGCTCTCTCTCTTTCTTTCTCTTTCCCTCTCTCCCCCACTCTCTCCTCTCTCCCTTTCTCTCCTTCTCTCTCCCTCCCTCTCTCCTTCTCTCCCCTCTCTCTCACTCTCTCTCATTCTCTCTCTCCCTCTCTCCCTCATTCTCTCTCTCCCTTTCTCTCTTACTCTGAAACTGGGCAGAAAGCGAGTGTCCACCTGGGGCCAGGGGTGGAACTTTCCAAAAAGGATACTTCTCTGTTCCTGTTCCTCCCTCTCTCCCCCTCTCCCCTTTCCCTTCTCTCTCTCTCTCTCTCTTTTTGGATCACACTCGGCAATGCTCAGGGGTTACTCCTGGCTCTGCACTCAGGAATTACTCCTGGAAGTGCTCCAGGGGACCATATGGGATGCCGGAAATTCAACCCAGGTCAGCCATGTGCAAAGCAAATGCTCTACCCACTGTACTATCACTCTGGTCCCCACATTCTCTCTTGAGCACTTGTTCTGTCTCTGTCTCTGGTTCTGTCTCTGTCTCTGTTTCTCTCTCTCTCTCTCTCTCTCTCTCTCTCTCTCTCTCTCTCTCTCTCTCTCTCTCTCTCTCTCTCTTTCGCCCAGTCCTCAAAACTTCCAAAATAAAACCTGTTTTAACTCCACGGCTTGTCTCCTCCTGAAATTCTTTCCTGTGAGGAAAGAAAGGGACCCAAAAGACCTTGGGGAGGCGTAGGACTGACTTGCCTGCAAGGAGCCATTTCCCCAGGGGCTCTGGCTGCCAGAGGTAAGAGAAAAAGTAGCACGTACCCTTCCTTCCCCAGGCCGCCCTCCTCTTCTCCACACTCCACAGAAGCCACCCGGGACCACACCGGCACCAGTAGCATACGGCCAGATCAGAACGCTTTCAAAAGGTTTTTGTTGTTGTTATACAAAAAAAAAAATTAATTCTGCCAATAACCATTAACTTAAAGTGACTGAAACAGAAATCATAACTCCTCACCAGCAAAATTCATTCCTACAACCAAAAATCAATAAATAAATCTGTAACTTTGAAGCCAGTTACAAAGGAGAGAGAATTTGAGGAAGGACTTTGAAATACTTATTTGGAACACAGTAACCTTAAAGGTGATACAATGATTTCTTTAATGATCCAGAACTTTTTTTTCTCCTCTTAAAATATGTCTTTCTAGTAGTACCTTTTCTAAGAGTATTTCTGGCCCTGCCTCTTACCTATCCAGTTCTTCCAAGAATCAGTGCACCCAATTTTAATTTAAAAGACAATTGCAGGGGTTGGAGCCATAGCACAGCGGGTAGGGCCTTTGCCTTACATGCGGCCAACCCGGGTTCGATTCCCAGCATCCCATATGGTCCCCCGAGCACCGCCAGGAGTAATTCCTGAGTACATGAGCCAGGAGTAACCCCTGAGCATTGCTGGGTGTGACCCAAAAATGTAGCACTGTAGCACTGTCCTCCCGTTGTTCATCGATTTGCTCGAGCGGGCACCAGTAACATCTCACAACAAATTGTGAGACTTGTCATTGTTGTTTTTGGCATATAGAATACTTCACGGGGAGCTTGCCAGGCTTTGCCATGTGGGCGAGATACTCTCGGTAGCTTGCCGGGCTCTCTGAGAGGGGCGGAGAAATCGAACCTGGGTCACTGTGTGCAAGGCAAACACCTTACCCACTGTGCTATCGCTTCAGCCAAACCCCCACCCCCCAAATAAGATAAAAAATAAAAGACAACTGCAGGTGTAGATTCTTGGGTGTTAGTACACTTCACCCTGGCAAATGATCAATACCCACCATCCAATCATGCTAGGTCTACCGTATTGATTCCATGGTGACTTTTTCTGGGTCACATTTGCATATCTATAACCAATACAGCTTAGTGTTTTTGAAAAAGAGAATTTTCTTGAAAGAGGACGAATAAGAAAAAGGACAGGGTTGCAACATGCAAAGCCTTCTGTGCTGCAGGAATACTCACCACACACTCAGAGGCAGGCAGGCAGGCAGCACCCGGCGTGAGTAGAGCAGTTCGCCAAGTGCTCTGTGACTGCTAGTACTGGGCTGTAATCGGCAGGGGAGGAGCCAGGGTGGAGCCCTGGAGTGGTTCCCATTTTTTTTCCTTTTTTTTCTTTCTTAAATGTAGGAGTACTGCTATTTAGCCACTGATTAGCTGATTGATTTGGACATGAACTCCACCTTACTTTTTTTCTTTTTCGTAGTTTTATTTATTTATTTATTTTTCTTCTTATATTTATTTATTGAATCACTGTGGGAAAAGTTAATAAGCTTTCAGGTTTAAGTCTCGGTCATACCATGATCAAACACCTCTCCCCTTACCAGTACTCATTTTTCACTACCAAGAACCCCAATACCAACCCCTCTCCCACCCCTCCCAATGCCTGTGAGTCAGATGATTTCCACTTAACTCTTTTCTACATTGATTGCATTCATTATTTTGACAAAAGCACAGTGGTAGGGCGTTCGCTTTACAAGCGGCCAACATGGCCGACCCAAGTTCGATTCCTCCGCCCCTCTCGGAGAGCCCGGCAAGCTACCGAGAGTATTCGATATGCCAGACACAGTAACAACAAAGTCTCCAATGGAGACGTTACTGGGCCCGCTTGAGCAAATCGACGATCAACGGGAGGGCCTTTACCTTTACCTTTATGCACCATTATTGTTTAGAATTCCCCCCCACACACACAACAATCAGAATTGCTGAAAAGGCATTGTGACATACTTTGTTTTCTATAGGTGGTTATGAGAATCATATAATGATTTTGGATTTCTGCAAACAGCCAGATAATTACAAAATTGGTTTCTGTGTGTCTGGTGACCATTTCAAAAGACTTTAACCGGGGCTGGAGTGATAGCACAGTGGGTAGTGCGTTTGCTCTCACGTGGCCGACCTGGGTTCAATTCCCAGCATCCTATAGGGTCCCCCGAGCACCGCCAGGAGTAATTCCTGAGTGCAGAGTCAGGAAGAACCCCTGAGCATCGCCGGGTGTGATCCCCCCAAAAAAGCAAAAATAAATAAATAAATAGAAATGTAAAAAATTACGTTAAAAAAATAGTGAGACTAAAAGGTGCTCAACCTTCCCTCTCGTCAGGTGAGTGGGAGGTTCCAGATCAAGGGCTGCGAGCAGAGATGGGCAGGGCTGGAAGATGGGGGGGCGGGGCAGGGGCATAATGCAGGCATGAGGCGGGACTCCCCGAAGTGCTCAGGTCGGGCCCATCAGCAAATGCAGTGGCCCAGCAGAGCAGCTGCTCAATGAGAGGGCCGAGGAGCTGGTGGTCCCCTAGGGGGGGGTCTCCCTGCGGGGCTCTGGGACCTCGCTGGCCACACCCAGGGGTGCAGGGGAGACCAGAGACCAAACCCGGGCAGCAGGCTCTAACCACTGGGCTATCTCTCATGCAGGGCCACTGGCATTACAGGACGGCTGAATGTGAGCGGGCTTGGTTTGTGGATGGTGAGATGGGCTTCAGGGAGCCCGGGACATGGCAGCATCACCTACAACGAAGGATGCAGAGTGATGAGCCGTGATAGAAAACAAGAAGATGGTGTTTGGTAAGGCAGGTTCAGGCTGGGGGCTCTCCCCCTAAGGTGCTGAGAGGCTGCTCCCAGCGTGGTGTGGAGGTCACAGTGGGTGCATGCAAAGCACCCGCCTCATCATCAGGCCTCTTGCCTAGCCCAGTCAGAGGGTAGACAGGAGCTGGACAGAGGAATGAGAGAAGGAATGAGTGACCGTTTAAATGCAGAGACACAATGTAGCACTGTCCTCCGGTTGTTCATCGATTTGCTCGAGCGGGCCCCAGTAACATCTCCATCATGAGACTTGTTGTTACTGTGTTTGGCATATTGAATACGTCAAGGGGAGCTTGCCAGGCTTTGCCGTGAGGGCAAGATACTCTCGGTAGCTTGCTGGGCTCTCCAAGAGGGGTGGAGGAACTGAACCCAGCTCAGCCGGGCCGGCCACATGCAAGGCAAACACCCTACCGCTTTGCTATCGCCTCAATCTGGACACAGTAATGCAAAAAAAAAAATAATATATATATATATGTATATATATATATATATATATATATATACACCATCTCCATCTAATTGTGGATTAGAAATGTATGTGCTTAACAAAGGCGACCTGTCCTTCATTTACCAGGAAGCCTCCGGTGAGTTGCGGTTTCTCTCAAGGTGTTTGAGTATGAAACAGGTATGACTCACATCCCTGAAATTCTGTTCCGTGTCCTCTCCTTGGAAATGTGGACAGAGGGAGTTTCTTGCTGGTAGGTAAATGGGAAAAACAAAAAAGGTTTACCTGTGGCCTGACTTATCTCACCGGCCAGAGGGGCATTTCCTAGTGTACTCACAGTCACGCACTGACAAGGAAAAAAAAATGACTAAAGCACATTAGCAACATCATAATTTGGCCTCATTTTGGAAGACAAGGGTGTGAATATTAACTGCCATAGATCTAGGTCTTTAGACCAAGTAAACAGGTGACATTGGGGCCCGAGCGATAGTACAGCGGGTAGGGCGTTTGCCTTGCATGTGGCCGACCCGGGTTCGATCCCCAGCATCCCATATGGTCTACCGAGCACCACCAGGAGCAATTCCTGAGTGCAGAGCCAGGAGTAATCCCTGAGCATCGCTGGGTGTGACCCAAAAAGCAAAACAAACAAACAAAAAAACCCAACGACAACAACAACAACAACAACAAAAAACAAGTGAGGAGCTGGAGCAATAGCACAGCAGGTGGGGCGTTTGCCTTGCACGCAGCCAACCTGGGTTCGATTCCCAGCATCCCATATGGTCCCCCGAGTCCTGACAGTAGTAATTCCTGAGTGCATGAGCCAGAAGTAGCCCCTGTGCATCGCCGGGTATGATTCAGAAACCCAAAATAAATAAATAAATAAATAAATAACAGGTGACATTGTTCCTGGGTAGTGAGACCCACTTTCCAGCCTGCACAGAAAATACCTTCAGGGGAGGCTGGGAGACACTCAAGGTTCAACTTGTGCCTTGGATGTGGAAGTCCTGGATCCAAGTCCCAGCACTACATGGTCCCCTGAGCACTTTTCAGACTGATAACAACCCCTTTATAGCAACAACCCCTTTATAGCACAGAGCTGGGAGTAGACAGTAACCTGGAGGTGGGTATGACCTTTTCCTTCCATACCCCAAGGTGTGGCCCTTCCCCACTACGTCTCTCAGTCTGTCTGTCTGCCCCCACACCCCTCTAGCACAGAGGGCCTCACACATGCTGGGCAAGTCAGCTAGCTGTCTCTGAACCATCTCCCTGGCCATCATTTCTCTTTTTAGGATTAAAGAGTGTGGCCCAGTCACAGTTTAACTCACAGGGCTCCTCTTTCCTTTGCGAGCTCTGGGTCCAAGGATAGGTTGAGACTGTGGTTGGTGATCAGTTTCCTAGGAAATGGTCGGGTTGGGTATACTAAGCCCTTGACGTTGGCCAGACTACTTGAGGGCCATTGCCACTTTCGAAAAGGACCGAGTAGCACTGGCCCTTGCATGCCAGTGGGACACACTAGCCTGGGGTGATCTGTGGAGGTGTTGTTCCCGGGTCAGCCTCTCAGCAGCTGCATTTCAAACAACCCTGCTGGATGGCTCCAAGCGTGGCCACTGGCCTGGGCTTCGCTCTGGCTCTGGTTCGGGGAGACTCTGCGCTTCAGCTTCCTCCATGGCTTGGCCGCCAGGATTAGAAAACAAATTTGCACATAGAGAAGTTTGCAAGGCAAGCACCGCTTCCCTCTCTTCCCCACAGAGTTAGAGAAGTGGCAGAAAGGAGTCCTGGTGAGAAGGGACTGCGGAAGTAGCATGCACCAGGAGGACGAAATGCCCGGCATTTCTAGACCAAGACACTGGCCAGTTGTTACATCACCTAAGACTTTCAGATGCAGGCAGAGGGTTAAGCAAAAAGGGACACTTGCCCCATGTTGGGGAACTCCTGTTGCAACCGATTTCAGGAATAAGTGTTTGTTCCAGGGCTCACCCCCAGGATCCGGGGCTCCTCTCTGTGGCCCGGGGCTCCTTTGAGTTGGCTTCCTACTAGCACAGACCTGACATCAACTGTACAAGCTGCCAACACTGCCAGAATGGCAAAGCCTGGCGAACTAAATGTGACGTATTCGATATGCCAAAAACAGTAACAAGTCTCTCACAATGGAGACGTTACTTGTGCCCGCTCGAACAAATCGATGAATAACGAACAGGAGGACAGTGCTATACAGTGCTATTGACATGTTTAACTTTCTTTTTTTCCCCATTTTTTATAATTTTATTTATTGAATCACAGTGAGAGCAATTACAAAGCTTTCGGGTCTAAATCTTGGTCATACAATGAAACATCCAGTGCCCATTCTCCAACCCCAACAACCCCAGTATACCCTCATCCCACACCCTCCCCTTACCTGTGGGGCAGATGATTTCCACATTACTCTCTACTTTGATCACATTCAATATTTTGACACTAGACCCACCATTATTATTTGAAATTTTACCCCAACACTCAGATCTGCTGAAAAGGCAACAGTAGGCAATTTGCTTTCTATTGCTGGTTATGAATAACATATGATGTCTTGTGGCTGCAGTAGTGGCTGCATGATTTTGAAATTCTGAAATTTTAACACTTAAATCTGGAGGTGGAGGTCACCACCATGCTGAGACCACTCTCCGCACACATGAAGGTACTGGCAGAGGGACAAAGCCACGCGGGTTCCGGGGCCGAGACCTCCAAGCCTACTCGGATTGGAGTTGAGCATCCTCCACCCAGATCCTCCAAATTCCAGTAGGCGGGGGTCACACCCACCACCTGGCCCCCTGGCGCCGTGTAATCCCATCAGCGGCCAAGACTCAGAGACTATAAAATCCAGCTCCCGGAACCACGTGGCCGCATTCGCGGCCGCGCGACATCTTATCAGGACATCTTTTTATGACATCTTATTATCTCATTCCTACTTTGGACAAACTTGCAGGCTATTGAATGTAGCCTGCCCACAGGGCAGAGTCTGGCAA